AAATACAATTCCTACTGTTAACAAAATGTCTTGCTGCCTCCTGGGATCACCTCTTAGACTGGAGTAGGGGACCTTTCCCAAATAACTGTGCAAGAATTCTCTCAACTACTGTCTTTGGTGTGAGGGAAACTCGTGTCCTGGGTGGTATTTTGGCTTCTGTTCCAGCTTTCTTGCCCTCAAAGCTATTCTGGTTCTTAGACAGAGTTGTTTCTCTTTTTTTCCCAGTAGCTTTGAGGGTACAGAGCCTGGAGCCATGAGGGCTTGTCCAAGTTATCATTCTCTATCACCTCTTGTTGCTGTTGGAGCGGAATGAGAGATTATTACTTCCAAGAAGGAGGTGTCATGGCTTGCAGTCAGGAAGAAAAGCATGGGTGTGGCGGGTCTGTCTGCCATTTCGTTCATTGTCTCAGGGTCACACCAAGTCAGTTTGGGCTCAGTGAGCATTTTTTTGCATGTAAATCACCCTCTTATTTTGACATACTTTTGTTACTGTTACTGTTCATTTTCTAATCTCGTTGTTTCCAGTAAATTTCTTTTAGCTCAACCCATAACCTCTGTCTTTTGTGTCTCCCATCAGAAGAGGGGCGGGATGAGTGGTGTCTGGTTTGGGAGAGTCTTGGTTGGGGGGATAGGAGGGTAGGCAGTAAATTAGGAGGTGATTTTCTTAAGCCATGACAAAAGCCTCTTAGACCTTGTCCTGCACTGAAATTTTGGAGCTGCTCTGGTGTACTATACCATCGTATAGTTTCATTTTGTTCCACCCTAGTGAAAAAGTTTTTGTTTCATGTAAGGCAAATATTTGCAAAAGGAGAGAGGAAAATGCAGCAGGTGATAAGCACCATTTAGTACTCATGAAGGGTGCTCTTGTAACAGGGTATTTTGATACTTAATTTTTATGTAACGGTTTTTTTGGAAGGTTGGGGGAAATTGCAGAAGTTTGCCTGCCCCAAGGTTCCTTGAGGCAGTGGGACAAGCTGTATGCAACTGTCAAGGTGTTGTTGGTGGGAAAGGTCTAACATCTCCAGGGACAGAAGATCAGAGCCTTCTGTATCCTCCTGCCTCCCAGCCCATGTGTGGTTCTGTTCTCCCATATTTAATGTGTGTACCATACTTGTTTACAGTAGCTTATCAAGAGAGGAGAGATTGTTTTGCAGTGATAAGTGGTAATTAGGGAAACCACCTTCAAATACATTCTGAAAAAGCTATTCAGTTGTATGGCATATTTCCTTATTTGTGTGCATTTCACCTGTCACAGAAAAGTGTGATTCCTACTCCTTGATTAAAAAAAAGAAAGTAGAAGGTCACTAGATCTGAAAAGTAGGGTTTTTTTGTCTTTTTTTCTTTCTGTGATTTTTTTTTTTTTTTTGGTGTATTAAAGGTTTAAGATGGGAACTGAGCTGCTCAGCCCCAGTAAAACTGATGGTAGTTCAAGGCCTCCAGATCTTTCCCCATCTGTAACTTTCTGGCAACAAGTTACTTTAAAAACAAAAACAAAAGAATTTGGCGCTGAAACAGAAAATATGTGAACCTGTCACAGTAAGTGGTCTCAAAGGGCAAGCTGCTTTGCAGGAGCTAATTAACCTTAGGAAATAATTACACAAATATGCAAATGTTGTTTAGACAATTCCATGTGTTGTCGACTCAGGTAGTCCATCATAACTGCAGACCTTGCAATGTCTAGGTGTTAGAATCTGGCATAGTTGATAAGGCTTCCATTGCTGCATCACTTCAGCCTGGTATTTAACAATTAATGACTGTGTTATTACATTAGAAAATTTAACCTGTTTTCTCAATGCAACAGAATGTAACATTGTATTCACAGTGTGCCTACTGCTTATCTGTGTATACCTAATGCCTCCAGCTGTTTAAATGTTATATACCTTTCAACCCCTAGTGCTGCTATACTGAAAAAAAAATGGCAGACCAAAATGCGAGTTCACTCCCTCCACTCTACTGCCCAATGGATGGCCCAGGAATTGCCTTGTTTTGGGCTATTTACTGTATTTGTTTATGCTATAAACATTGCATGACGGCCTTTTCACATAATACGCTTCTTTCATGTCTAATTATATATACTGATCAAGGAGACAGGTTCTCAGAGGGATGGACACCCACAACCATGACTTCCACATCCCCAAAGAACCAGATGACATTATTTTGACATGGAATTACCTGTTACAGGTGACCAGCTTTCAGTGAAAAGTTTGACTTTTCCAGCACCTTTCCATCTGAGTCTGTTTCACAAACGAGATTGAGTTCAGCTTGAGGTGCATAGTATGATTTCTCCAGGCTAATCTCCATTCATTTCTGTATACTTGTATAGATAATTATGTAAACTCTGACCAAGAGGCCCCCTTCTCTATCAAATAATTTAACAATATTCTATGTAAGTGCATTCAATTTAGCTGCCATGATATTACCGAAGGCAACAGCTTCCTGAGACAGTAACCTTTTATACCGAAAATGCAGCATCCTCTCATAATTTAATCCAAGATAGGCCATGGAGGTTAAATGTCACAGATCCAGTGCAGTTTGAAATCCTAAGGAATTTGGCTGTTCTGTGCTCCTGCAGCTGGATGTGTCATGTACAGACTTGGCACCAGGTCTGAGGTGTTTGAAATATGGTGTTGTTACAAGGGGGAAAAAATTAGCAGATGCTCTGAGAAAGAGCTTTTCTTCTAAGCATGTAGGGCTCCTCGAACTCCTTAAGCATATGTGCTTTTCTTATCTTGCTTAGGGCTTAGCAGAGTGTGTATAGCAACCCCGTTTATCCTGACATTTTTTTGGTTTTTTTTAACTAGTAATAAAGAAAACTGTAGATACAGTCTAGATTTAACTCATTCTAGCTGATTTCTTTTTGCTTTTACAGAATCCTATTGAGTCTTTGTACTGGACTGTGAAGTTGTGCAGTTATTAATTTGGTTTACTAGACCACTGGTTCAGCTTGGACTGGTGAAAGCTTTTTTTGGCTGATTCAGAAGCTTCTTGCTGGTGTCTTAGTCTTGTGGAATCTAAAACTGTGTGCTTTTGCCAGCAGGGTGTAGAATAATAAATATAAAGTAACCTGAAAATGCTATATTAAGCAGAAACAACCACCTCTTTTCCCCAGAATGCTAAGCAGCATTGGCTACCTACACAAAAATTGTTGTTAAGAGTACAATGGTAACATTATTATTGAAAAACAAGCACCTCCTATGTATATAAATAAGGTAAACCTTTTAGATAAATTAGTAATTTTAAAACTTTCCCAGGGTTTTATGCTTTTTCCATCCATATGCTAGAGTATGTCACTTTTACATAGGAAACTCCAGTTCAAATTGTTTTTCAGCTTTATCTTAAGAATTGGGCTGTCATATTTACTTTATGTAATTTCTTTTTTCAAACTTCCCTCTTTCCTCACAAAGAGAGGAGTCTTTACCTCCTTGACCTATCTGTACAATCATATTTCAAAACAGCAACAAACTGTTTTCAAATAAGTCCCTTTTCACACTGAGGTTGTTTACAATTGGTAAAACATAATTAGTTAAAACTACATTCTGTCTTAGTCAATGAAGAGCAGAATCTATCCAGGGTTAAGAGCAATCCAGGTTTTTCTGGCTTTTAAATCACTTCTGCCATAGTGAAAAAGCATAAAAGCATGTCATTATTCTAAAACCTTTGAGTCAGGATCCATAAAAGATTTGTAGCCATCTCACTCTAACTTTGGAAACAGGGCATAAGAATAGAAGTAAAAGCCAAAATCCACCACATTACTTGGTTTTGTCTCTTCCCACTAATTTTAGACATTTATAAGAGCTTAAATCCCCAAAACTGAGTTGCAGAGTTGAGATCTAGATCACTTCAAGATTCTTGATAAAGTTTCAGTAATTCACACTGTGTGATTAGCAGCTTCTGACTGCCAGTAGCTTTTAGTGGTTTGTGCTTCCTTTTTCCCAAGGAAATGAGTCACCTAAGGATATGAAGTTGTTGGTGGAGCAAAGGGAAAAGGGATGCAAATTTTAGGAAATTAGATGACCTTGACTGATCAGCTCTTTCTGGCATTGAAGAGCCTGAAAAGAGCCAGCACTGTTATCCTGGGTGTGTGAAATGCTGGTGAAGCAGGGTACCTAGCAAAGCATCTTAGTCTTGTCACCTGAGGCTAGACCAGATTTGTAGTTATGACCRCAAAAACCTGGGAAATAAAGAAAATATAGATGGGTATAGTGTTTCCAAGACCCTCTAAGGTAGGAGTACACAACTGTGAGTTTTGATGAGAGTGTGTTAAAATCAGTGTGTGTCACTCTAGTGTATTCAGTGACTCTTACATAGGCAGGCTTTGGCAAAATCTTCAATAGTAAGAAAAAGTGGTCCTCTAAATACTAAAAATTCCAAAGTAGTGGCTGCCACCAGTCAAGAGGTGTTTTATTTGCACTGTCTTATAGTCTGCAGTCACAAAAAGTAACATTTAAAAGAGTATTTGAAAATACCATAATTTTAATCTCAATTTAGGTTTGCAGTGGCTAATAATATGAAAAAAAAGCAACCCAAATTGAAATTACTGGTCTTTACCAACCTAAATTATTCTATGATTATGTATTTACATTGTTCCTATTTGTTTTTATTTGTTTTATCAGTCTAAGGCATAAATACTTTAAACAAACCATCAGTGAACAAATATTTGATGAAGAAGTGTCAGAAGAATCTGAGCTGTGGCTCATAGTTCCCATGAACGCCTCCCTGTTGAGTGGAATTGTCATCATGGTATTTACACAAAATTTTGCAGATGCATAGTTTTTGTTATATTTATTAAAGTAAGCTCAAAAMCCAACAGTTTTACTGCCTTTAAATTGCTATTTTGCATTTTCTTTATTTAGATGAAAAAATCTGTTCTTTTTTTTATACTAGTGTGTATTCATTTGATGTTTGCTTTAACGAAACATTTTAACATACAGGAACACATTGCTTTTAGAGAGTATTTCCATTTTTTAAAAGAAAACTATCACAAACATAATTTCTTTCAGGATAATGGCTCTCCAGAAGAACATGCCATTTATGTTTGGGACCATTTTATTTCCCAGTCGGCTGCAGAGAATGTGTTTTTTGTTGCTCACAGTTATGGTGGACTTGCCTTTGTGGAGTTGGTAAGTGTGAATTCTTCATTGCCTTCTTTCCTAAAAACTGTCAAAGGTTTTGTACATTCTTTGGGATCACCTTCTTGAAAGTAGCCAGGTAGAACCAAATGAACTGGTGGTCATGTACAGGTCGGTCAGGATTTCTTTGCAACCAGAAGGTCCCTGCATCTTTCCTGATTTTGAGATAAACAGTAAGGTCCTGAGTATGTGTGAACCTGGAAGACTGTGAGGAAACAGAACACAGTAGATCCTTGTCCGGATTGTGTACTGAAAGGCACCTGTTTCTGCTGTGGGGCAGAAAGACCAGAGGACAAATGAGACTGAGGGTATAAAAGAACAGTTTTAAAGTGAAGTCACGGTAGCAAATGCAACTTTTTGTAAATAGATTGGAACTGAAAGTGAGGGAAATTTGGCACTTTTTTTCAGTTTTGGCAGTTTTTCTACAAAGGTCTGCAGAACTTGCAGGAAAGGCTTCTGTTTTCCCATTTATTAGGCTCTGCAGTGATATAAGGTGGGGAAAACCGCTCCGTGTTTAAAGCTGCTCTACATCTGGTGCTGAGACTGCTGAATATCCAGATTGTCAGACTTTCACTCTTTTCTCGAAAGGCAGATCTCTTGACCCCATCTGGTTTACCAAATTGCCTGTTGAACTTACATACCATTCTGTCAGTGTAGCTGCAGTCTCCTTGTGTGATTTTCAAAYGCTAGTGTAATCAGAACGTGTTCTATTGAAGGAAACAAAAAAAAAAAGTAAAGGTACTGTTTTTTGTGGAAAGGTAAATTGCAGAACATTACAACTGGTTTTACAGGCATGGGAATCAGCAGACATATATGTAAATCTTTTGTCTAGGATACATTAGTTTAATCTAATTGAAAGTTGATTAAGATGTGTGTGAACATAAGATGAATGCCTTAGTTAAGAAAAAACATGCATAAGTGTGTGGTTTTAATCTTATGCTGCTCCAAGTAGCAATACCAGTCCAGACCATGACCACTTGTATTATTTTAAGAACTTCAGATTTTCCTCAGCCTCTTTTTTTGGTTCTGAAATTAATGTCATTTTAATTGTCTCTACGGCCCTGGAAGAGTATGTGTAAAATATGCTTGATGTATACAGATTTGAGACTTGAGAACAGTTCATTTTGCTGAAATTGTCTGAGTTGATTGTTGATTGTTTTTCACATTTATTTTATTACCTGCTCAATAAATAGTCTCAAAACTAAATTTTTAAGAGACCTTGAAGGTGAGTAATTCATTCTGTAACCACATCTTTGGGCAAAAAATGGGTTGTGTTGCATGTGCCTGTTGCTCTTGCGGTGCCATAAAGGTTGGGGAGCAGTTGTTCTGTCTTTGCTTTCCTGAGTTGTGTTTTTCAACTGCTCTAGGTTTTAGCCCAGCTTATTCTGGTTTAACTTGTGGATCCAAACTAAAGTGTTCACCAAATTTCTGTAGGTTTTGTAAAACTGCATTGTTTGGGTCACCTGATGCCCAGAGATACATAGACTTAGCAGAGGGCAGGAGTAAGAATCCACTGGAGACCTTTCTCAGTGTTTCCTGAACAGAATGCTAATGTGAAGGAGGCTTGGAGAGTTTCTCCATCCAATTTCAGTCAATGGCTTGAGGTGGCATGGGTAACAGATGRCCAAGGTGTCATTCCCATTTTGCCTGTTTCTCTTGTCACACCTATGGATATTTCTTCACTTTTGTTCTACTTTAATATGAACCACACTGATGTTTCAGAACAAGACTTGACATCTGATCTTGGGGCTTCCAAGTCAGGGTGCTCAGGGCCTGTGAAATTACCACAAGCTGAGTGAAAGTTTTTATCAGTCCCAGGAAGCAACCAGTAAGTAAGAAGTTAAAAAGGACCTTTGTCAGAAAGACAAGATGGTCTCAGTAAGGGTCAGCTTCTATAGTCTGCCATCTCTGTAGGAGATGCATGCCTGAGAGGAAGAATATAATACATATCCATTAACACATCACATACCTGTCATGCAAAACTAGACCTGAGATGTATTTTTAATGTAACCAAACATTCTTCTAAAAAATCAAAGTATATTAGCACCTGGTTTAGGCAGAGGTAGTTTGATATTTGAGTTCTAGTGAAAGCAGTCCGATTAAATAATTCATACAATGAGGGACATATCATTGAAATAAACCCTGAACTATTTATCACAGTGTAATTTGTATGGTTTGATTTTGTTATTATCATCTCGTTTTTCTTAAACTTTATATCCATGTGTCACTTAGTAATTGCAATGAGCTCCAAAAAGAAATGGAGCAGCTGATAGGCAATTACTGTCTTATGACAAATACATTTTCGATCACTTCACTTTCTTCTGTGATTCATGTGGGGGTGATGATGAGGTTGATAGAGCAGCTACACCATATAGCAACTGTACCACCTCTACACTTCCTTTGCAAGTTTTTGGTTTAACTGATTCATGAAATTGTAGGTTATAGTCGTTATGGAGACCTGTTGCACAGCTGCTCCTTCTGTATCTGTGCCTCTTACAGGAGAACAGTGTGAAGCATATGGCTTTAATTTGGAGTGAAGGTTTCTGCCTGAGCCCTCTGAATTTTATTTTGCCTGCTGGGAAAAAGAAAACAAGCAAAAAATATTTTTAAAAAATTATGTTTTCAATTAATATCTTTTTAATCAACTTTCCATGTTCAGTGCTGCAAGGTCTGTCATGGTGGCTTGCAGTCATCCCAGCCACGGCTTGCCACTTCATCAAGGTGCAAGGCTCTTGATGAAAATGGAATGTTCTGGCATTAAACAGAAAAACCCGTTGAAACCTGATATTAAGCAAAGTCTTGTTCATGAATGCTCATACTATGGTTTGGGAGGAGCTGCCACTCTCCCAGGAAAAGGCAGAGAACGACGGGCAGTACCCATCCAGGTGCTCCTTTGTTTGAAGCTGCTGAGGGACATAGCCCAGGAAAGGCCATGCTGCTCTGCCTTGCTCCTTGATTTGCATGCATTTTGTTGGGAAGCTTAAAGTGAAAAGAGAGCAAATAGGACTATCACATATGAAATCGATAAAAAGGAGGGTCATTCTTCTTTACAAAACTTTGGTGTCCAAAATTCATCCCCAATTCGTTCCAAATTTCATCTCACCTGATAAAAATCAGGCTGTGTTTTGGAAGTCCTTCTTAAATAGACCAGTTAAGCTTAGCTGCAATTTTCAAATATATGCCACATCAAGTAAAAATTTTATTGATCTTTGCAGCTTTTTGATCTRCATTTTCTTATGTCTATGATTGCAAGATGTTAAGAAAAATAAGGTGAGTCTGCAGTATCAGGCTCAAACACATATAAACTGTTACCCAGTTACTGCAATATAGACACACATTTTCTGTACCTTGTGTCATGGAATACTAGGGGAGTAATGGAAAGTGATGAAAACGTGTGGGAAATAAAGTTTCACCAATAAATGTATTACACTTTCTTGTTGTATTGTTTATTAGTTGAATTACAAATGGCAAATCATAAGCCATATGTTAGAACGTATCTCAATGTTTAGTAATTAAAATTTGTGTATTTGTGGTTTGAAATTAAGCATGCATCTGATAATATCTACACGTAAATTACTTTTTGAATGCACAGCACTAAAAATAATTGTTAGGTCACTGTGTTTTGCTTATTGCTAATTAGTGATTTTGAAAAGCTCAAGCCATGATTCATGAACACATCTCAGCTTCTTATTTCTGACTACTTTCACAGTGTAGTCAGGAATTTATTTTCAGAAGCAGTTTGCTTTACTTGATGGCAAATTGTGGAACTTTCCCAACTCCAAGCTTATAATAATTTTATGAAATTTAACAGAAAGTGAGAATTTCAAGTTGATGGAGTCAATTTTATATTTAGTTTACGAAAATCAGAAGTTTCTTGTACAACGCCTCCTGTGAGATTTTCTGCCAAATTKTGAGGGTTTACAATTATTTTGCTTTAAAAAGAATGTTTTTCCTTGTCAATGCCTGCATGAAAGACCCACACAGGAGAATCTTTGTGGAAAATTTCTTCTGTTTGCTTCCTATATTTCTGAGACCATGGAGTCTGCATTTTCAATTGTTACCTCATAATCTTATAGCTAGAGGTGTAGCTTTTTTGTTTTAATTTTAGTTAAATGATACCTTAAAAAAAACCCCAAACATCATGGGAATCATGACAAAATTATGAGAATCATTAAAGGTATCTCCAGCTTACAGCATTCATAGTGCTGTAAAAATACAAAGTACGCAGGGGAATGTAATAATTAGGAGAAGGAAAGTAGGTTCTTTAGCAGGTGATAAACTATTCACTGTGGTCTTTTGGCTAAAATATTGGGTGTATATATTGGTAATTTGTGCAAAGGTGTAGATAAAAGGTGCAAGGGCGTGCCTTTTAGGGAGCTTTGTTAAAATGAGAGCCTTTAAAATGCACTGTTCAAATTSCTGTATCCGCTGTAGAGTCTTAATTCCATCAAATCTGCCAAATTTGGCCATTTGAAATAATTTTAGGTCCATCATTTTGAGATACTCTGCAATGTGCTGCCACTTGATTTTGCTGTATTGTGCTGAGTATGGCAAGGACCTGGCCCTGACTGGTGCTGATAGGTGCCATAATAATGATGATAGACAGGCACCTGCTGAGCTACCTGTAAGTCTCTGAGGCTGCATCAGTATTCTGGCACAGGCAAAATGCAATTTAAGAACCTTAATAACTGGGCTGTGAACCTGTCATTAGTTTTTCATTAATTTAATTTCCTGAAGTCTCAGACTGAATGGTTTGTTATATTTGGCTTTTTATATATACTTACATAAATATATCTACTTATTTTTTAATTTAGTTTGCCAGGAAAATTGATGAGTGGGTACTGTGGACATGCAACTCTTAATTCCCCTGGCTGACAGAATAAATCGAAATACATCTACTGATGCATGGTAGAGATAGCATAAGATCTGTGATGGCTGTAGGAYGCATGGGAAAGAGCTGGAAGCAGAGAGCTGAGAAGGAAAACACCTCA